TTACCGTATTATTATTATTATTATTATTATTATTATTATTATTATTATTATTATTATTATTGTCATGATGGTTATTATTATTATATTGTAGCCAGTCACAGCAGGGAAGCTCTATACCATCAACATCTACCAGGACAGGAGATGAGGAAGAGTTCAGGGAAGACACAGACAGTAAAAGACCAGGATGAGGGAAACCACCAGGATTAGGGAGAACAGATAGATGAGGGAGAGCAGATGGGTGAGGGAAAACAGGGAAATGAGCCAGATGAAAGAAGAAGAAAGAGGAGCAAGCGTACTACTTTAAAGTAGTACGCTTTAGTCTGTTCTGTTGATGGTGTGACTTTTTTCCATTGAAAACTCACATTTAGAGAATGTTACAAATAAAAGTAAAATTTCATTCAACATGCGTGTGTATTTTTTTTTTTTTTATAATTAAGTGCCCCCCACCAACCCCCCCTTCCTGAGCACCTGCCCCACAAAATGTCTGTGCACGCCTCTGGCGATTAGCCTACTTGAAGGAAGGACGACCGAAGTTGAGGGCATCTCTCGCCTCGCCACCCCCCTGCTACAGCACAAAGACATGCCACACCTTCAAGCCATCCCCAATGCAGCCCTACCAAGCCTCAGAAGAGTCGAGAGATGACTCCAGAGAGATCCTGAGAAGGCCACTGTGTATCGCGCTGAGATCGACATTCGACAAGGGTCCGGGGTAAAGCTTGACCCATCATAAGTAACCACGGCAGAAGAGGCATGGTACATTCCCCACCACCTAGTTAGCCACAATAGTAAACACTGACTTGTATGCAACTGCTCAATCAGGTATCGAGGTCAGAGCCTCAACGAACACCTCCTACCCGGGCCTAATCTCGGAGCATCTCTGCTGGGGGGAGTCTTCAGATTTTGGGAGCATGAAGTGGCTGTAAGTAGAGACATAAAGAGCATGTTCCACCAAGTTCACCTGCTACCTGAAGACCGGACTATCCTGCGCATTGTGTGGTGCAACCTACAGCAACACCAACCCCCTGCAGTGTACAAGTGGCAGGTGCTGCCCTTCGGCACCACACAAGAGAGAACAACCAGCCTGGAGATGAGATGAGGACTTCAGTAGAGCGATGCTCCTATGTGAACAGTTGTCTGCAGTCCCTCCGTATCACAATTGCTGACAGAGACCTCATGGACAAGTTGAGAGGGCTCCTGTCCTCAGCTGACTTTGTACTTCGTCAGTGGGCCAGCAACATACCCGAAGTGATCAGCTACCTACCTGAAGACCTCAGATCTACCAGTGCTGTCCTCTGGTTGGCACATGAGAAGACAGACAGGATACAAATGTCGCCCTATCCAGTAACAACATCTACAAGGTGCTCGCCAGTCAGTACAACCCCTTGGGCTTCATCCTGCCCTATACTACTAGAGCCAAGATGCTGGTGAGATGACTTTGTGACAAGCAAAGAGGCTGGGATGACCCCCAGTTGAACCCACATCTCCTCAAGCAGTGGAGAGACTGGGAAGGAGAGTTTCAGTTTCTCTCTTAAGTCCGCTTCGTCGTCCATACTAACCCAAGGGCATGGCTGCTGCCATAAACGAGAGAGCTTCACATCTTCTGCGATGCATCGATGTCAAATAAGTATGACATTTGTTTTACTGCAAAGGTTTAAAGTTTGAAATTACAATTTTATTGACAGAAATTGATTGAACGTCAACCAACTGTGGAAAGAATTTAGAGTGCAACTAATAGAACCGTCAAAAATAACGGCTGCCGGAGATCGATTACCCTAAAAAAATAGATATGGTTTTATTTTATTTTAAAAAACGTGAAAATGAAGGAAATATAGAAACAGGAAAAGTCAGTTAACGTTACCAACATAAGATTAATGTTAATAAAGTTAATTTACTTCAAAATCTAATAATTTTCATTTGAATGTGCTTTACTGGAGGCATCCATGTTTGTCAAAGAACACTACTGCCACTTACTGGTTTGTGACGTCACAGTGCGGTATCTGGTGTTTGTCCCAACACGCTATTATCCAAGTCACCTTGAAAACCTTCTTCTTCCAGATGTTGGCTACATATTACGTGTTTTTTTTTTCTCTGGCCAGAAGTTTGATCCATGGCGGCGCTCCAAAGCAGTGGCCAAGAACAGCTCCTTTTGACAATTTCACACAATATGCCGCTTAAAATTATACAAACTAGACTTCAAACCCGGATCTATGATCACCAATGCCTGCTGGAGCTGCGGTCACAAAACTTTAACCGTTCCATCAGATCAGCGAAGCAGGACCACAGCCAGAAGATCCAGGATCTTTTTCACGACAATAGCAACATCAGGAGGATGTGGAAAGGCATTCGGATGATCACAGACTACAACACACCTGGATGTAGCTGAAGTGAGGAAAACTCTGAGGAGAGTCAACCCAAGGAAGGTCCCAGGGCCTGATAACATAACTGGACGGGTGTATAAGGAGCGTACAGATCAGCTTGCAGGTGTCCTCAGAGATATTTTTGACACCTTGCTGGACCAATCCATAGTGCCAGCATGCTTCAAGTCTGCCAAAAATGAAGCAGTACGCACATTTTTTCTGCTCTTGCTGCTTTAGGTGTAAACGTAGCATAACAGGGGCTAGCTTCCAGCCATGGCGTCCTGCACGAGCATTCGGGGGGGTCGATTCGTTCATGTGTCAGGGTACGCACACAGGGGGAGGGACAAGCAGACGACCATGATAAACGTGTCAGGAACCAACAGTGTACAACTGACCATAGTTTGTGATTGGTTGACGTTACTCATTGATTTCTCACAGTAACGGGGACCATATATTTCAGTTTCAGTTCCAGACCTTCTATTTCACTGCTTGCTAAGCGGCTGTGGGGAGATCTTCAAGCCACATGGTAAAAAATGTGTCAGAAAAGATCTCCTACTGTACCTTTAAAACAATTTTCCAACTTATAAAGTCAATAAAGCCAAGCTGCCCTGTAGCTTGAAGCTACAGAACAGAACATATAAACACCCAGAGCGACAAAGCAACTTGACCACAGTTTGATACAGTGTTCAAATTTCAGCGTTTAAGCGTTTTTAACGACCAGATCACGTTCTGTGTGAACGCACAATTAGCATCCTGGACACAACCTGGTCCCCTTGGTTCTGCTCTAATCTTTTAGACATTTTATAGATTAGGACCAGTCCCCCAGATGTCCCACAGAGGCCCTCTAACCAAGATGAAGTAATAACCTTACTGAGAGACCAGCTTCCCCTGAGCTCCTTCCTCTGCACCATGGTCAATGTTAGAATCATCAGGAGTGGAAAATCTCTAAAAGCCTGTTTTCATTTGGAAACTAAAGTGCTAATTTACCCATTTAATTAGTTTTAAAATGATTCTGAGATCACAGCATAAGCAAAGGAAGGGATGTGAATACTTTCTGTTGGCACTCTTTGTAGAGATGATTATAAAGTCTACAGTGAAGCAGACAGAAGTATTCAGGCTTTGGACAACAGAAAGGAGACAGAGGTTACCTCCCAGTGGCTGAAAACCAGCTGTGGACTGGCCAACCCGCTGGTTCTCTTGCGGATCTCATCAGCAAAGCCAAAGCTCTCAGCGACAGGAAGAACAGCTGTGATGATGAACATATCCGTCCCCTCCTTCATCTCCTCATGTAGAACCCGACCCTCGCGCTTTCCCAGCACTCCGTAGACCCGGCCTGGAGGAGGAGAAGCACAGGTCAGGACAACCAGATCTCCCTGTAAATACGCTTCATCATCAAATGTTCCTAAAACAGATGAAGGATAATTACAGCTTTGACCTGATCTAATGTTTAAAATCAGAATGTGTCCTTTCTATGCAACACATCCCTCTGGGAGAACTGGGAGTTAGGGTAGGTAGGAGACAAGTAAAGAAGGAGAGTAGGAAAGAAAAAAGGAACATAGGAAGGACAGAAGGAGAGAGGAAAGGAGACAAGGGCAGAAGGAGCGAGGAAAGGCGACAAGGACAGGAGGACAGTAAGAAAGAGACAAGGACAGAAGGAGAGTAGGAAAGAAAAAAGGAACATAGGAAGGACAGAAAGAGACAGGGAAGGAGACAAGGACAGAAGAATATAAAAAAAAACTTGAAAAGAAGGACAGAGGAAAGGAGACAAGGACAGAAGGAGCGAGGAAAGGCGACAACGAACGGAGGAGAGTAAGAAAGAGACAAGGACAGATGGAGACAGGGAAGAAGACAAGGACAGAAGGAGCGAGGAAAGGAGACGAGGACAGATGGAGAGAGGGAAGGAGACAAGGACGGACAAGAATAGTAAAGAGACAAGGACAGAAGAAGAGAGTGAAGGAGACAAGGACTGAAGGAAATAGACAGGGACAGAAGGAAGGACACACACAAAAAATAATGTCCTCATCAAGCAGGCCGCCACATCTTGGAGATACTAGTGCAGTGTTCGCTCTTACCAAGGACCTCAGCGGTCGCCATGATCTCGCAGGTGTACATGGCCACCATGAGCCTCTGGGGCTGAGCCTGGAAAGCATGGCGGCAGGCATCCTTCATGGCGGCGATCAGCTGGCCAGACACCGGCCCGTAGCAGTCCGCAGACGGAGCCTCTATCCTCCGCTCAGCCAGAGGACGGCCTGCTGTCATATCCCCATCGACATCTCTATCAGCTTTATTGGGAACAGAGTCCTTCAAAGATTCTGGCTGCAGCGATAAAGCTGAGGACTGGACATCCCACCTCTCCACCGAGAAGCAAACACCCATCAGGGGCTCCTCGCACATGGGACCGGAGAGCGTTGCCAGCTGGAAGCCGCTGACGATGCTGTTATCAAAGTCCCGCAGTGGAGGAAGCTGAGTTCTGGTGGGGTCACTGCCTTGCCTGCTTTCCAGACACTGCCATATCGACGCTCGGCTGTAGTCCTTAATGCTGTTCAGGAGTATGTTTGGACCGGACCTAACAACAGAGACCACCAACATGAAGTCCTACCCATAAAGGAAAAGGCTTCTAGCTGAAAACACAGAGCATTCTCTGACCTGCGGGGCCCAAAAGCCCAGATCCGGTCCACAGCACTCCGCCACTTCCTTCCTTGCAGCAAGCTTTCCAGCTGGTCCTTCAGCTCTTTTATGGCCTCCATAGTCCTGGGATTTATGTCCAGAGCTTTCCCCTCCCTGAGGGACATGTTGATCAGCTCCAGAGTCCGGATTACGTCTAATCTCCTCTCCAGAAGAACCGTCACCTCTGTAAAGAAAGACAAGTGGATCTGAAGTCAACCTTAACAAGGTACCAAACACATCACTGACCTACTTTCTGATTTCCTCTCTGAATTTCTGCTTTATTCAGCTAAAGCAGTCCAGATACTCTGGGCATATTACCCTGTGGTAATGGGACTGCCCGCACGCCCACAGTCGCCAGTTTGTTGGGAGTGGTGACGGTGACGAGTCTATTAGAGTCCATCTGCTGGGACTCAGATGAACGTTCTTCTTTTACCTAGAAAAGAACAAAAACATTGATAAGGCATGAAAACAGGTGAATGTGAGAGTAGACCCCAAGGTTTAAGAAAGTCTACCCTTTAGGGGCTTCAAAAGGTCTTGCACCTTTTGAACCGTTAAGCATGTTTAGCTTGATGCATATTATATGTCTCTAGTTGGAAAATTTCAAATTTTGCAGCTATCAAAAAAACAAAACAATCAGAGAAGCTCATCCGGGAGCATCTTGGAGACAGATGCTGCATGCAAGCAGGTATTTCTGCTTCTGCAGAGCTGTCGGCATAAAACTATGTCCACTGGCTGTAAAAATCCAGAAGAGTTGATTTTTAGATACAAGAAAATCACTTAGACAATAATGATTATTTGAAGAGTTTCAGTCTGGCTTTAGAGCTCATCATAGCACTGAAACAGCTC